TCAATTTTCTACACAATGAACGAGCCTCCCTGTACTTTTCTCGATGGCTCTGCAAGTTTGAAAATGCCTTTTCATCTCGACACTAAAGAGAATCATTTGACGATGGCTGAATATTTTGTTTTGAAATGACTACCTCGTAAATTGTCACATTATGAGTGCACTGAATATTTTTTCATTCTTTAGTCACATTAATTGATACTAAAGTGTCATAGAGATTTAATTGACGAGAAACGCATAACGAAAGTTAGATCGATTAGATCGACGAAGCGAGAGAATTCCATTTTCTCAAGTCGTCGTAACGAGACAGATGAACGACGTTACATTCTTCAGTTGCAATTAGATTTTTCGTCACGATTGTCTTTGGCTCCGAAGAGCCGCGGTGCCTCTTTGCGCATTAACGTACATAACTCATACATCGCTGAATGCACATGGCGGGAAAACGCAGCGCACACGCACCCATCGCATGCATGTAACGTAAGAACGCGCATTGTACAATCGAATGTATTAATTATTTTTTTATTAGTTAAAAGCTATCTGACTGTTTCTCGATGCCAGAAGCAGATTTTTTTCCTTCACACACTGAGTAGAACTTCTTACAAGGAACACAAAAGAGACTGTATGAAAATAGCGAGCATTTGTGCATCGCAGATGTAACAGAATTTCTCTATTCTGGAAGAAAATACTTAATCTTTCTGTAAAGTAAAATTTTCCTCTTGTTCTACTTCTGCTTCGCACTATAGATATTGTATTTATCACATGACATGATTGCATGACAATATTTAGAAAAAATTAGAGAAAGAAAGAGAGGAAGAGAGAGCGTGCAACGACATTGAATTTTTGTGAGAGAAAGAAGGGGAGAGCGCGCGCGCGCGTGCGCGCGCGCACACACACACACACACACACACACACACACACCATTTCTACTTCTATTAGGAAAGATCCCTGAATAATAAAATAACTCGACGATTTCAGATAAGAGGAGTTCTATCATAGCCTCGTCATAATCTAGTATCTAATCAGAAGATAACCGTGGTCTGCTGACAGTCTAATGTACATTACGGAAATCTATGGCTGGTACGGTGGCGAATTGTTTAGAGGCCGCGGTAGTAACCGCGAAGAGATACGATGGAAGATGGAAGGAGCGTGGGCCGTTTTAATGCTATTAAAGCACCGCGCGTGTACGTGTGACGTATGTGTCGGCATGGTAAACGCATAGATACGCACATATGTATATCGGGTAATCCACGCGTGCATATGTGTGACTAACCGCTCTCGCGCGCGGGTCAATGCCTCGGCTGTTTCCGAGTAGTAGGTACGCACTTACGTCGCGCCTTACGTACCTTTTCCTTCGCGTTATATCCAAGCATGCGTTCGTTTCAAGTGTACCCGCACACGCAAGTGCATACACGAACGTACGTAGGGTACGCACGTGTTCGTGGGGCTTCCGTGAGGGAAGTCCACGCGCGACATTCAAGAGTAGAGCGATATACATATAATCATTGAAAAGTCAGCATCAGTCAGCATCCTCACTCTCAGAATTTCAATATAATCGATAGATTTTTAGCTAAAGAATTTTAAAATTATTAATATTATATGTTTAATAAAAAATTTTGGTGATTAAATTTAAAAAATGTAAAAAGTATCCGAAGAGATATTGGATGCTAACTTACACAACAACTTGTTATTTCAATCAGAATCGATTTGCTTACTTATAAAAATTTTTCACCGTTTTTAGCTCGCGCGAACGATTAATTTGATGGTGAAAATGTGCATTTTACTCAATGAGTATGACTCCGTTTTTAGGTCGCAAACAGGAACTTTTCCGCAAAAATGAGTGGTTAAAACGGATTGCACGCATGCAGGACACAAGTATAATAGTAATTCTAATCTTGCATTCATTACGAGAGTTATGATATGAGGAGGTATGTTTTATGTAATGCATTGAATTTAATGCACTTAATCCAAACTGTGTATGCATTTTGGGCATAAATCCCACCCGCTAAAAATTCCGTATATTCCAAACAGGTGAAGATGTAACACATCAAGCCGAACGAAGAATGAAGTTAAGCACTTGTATTTTGCTATACAAGTTCTTTATCCGTTCTTATCTCTCTATATTTATGTATTACCAAATAACCAAGTCATTTCTTCTCCCTATAGTAATGATTTAATGTGAGTTATATGATATACGGTTGCGTTACTTATTACATTGATAAATCGATTCAATTAACATAGTATTATTAACTAATTTAAACAATAAGAATCTTATTTTTAGTCTGTATATGTTAGAAACACAATTAATAATAGAAATTTAAAGGCCTATACCGGTCGAAGCTAGATCTTTAACGGTTTTAAATAATTCAATGTGAATTTTATATATATATATATACTATATATATACTTGCATATGTAGTATATATATAATTCACATTGAATTATTTAAAAGCGTTAAAGATCTAGCTTCGACCGGTATTTAAATTTCTAGTATTATTAATATTACAGTAAAAAATTAAAATTACAATACTAATATAACATACATAATAGATTGGTTACCTACAAATTATTTCATTTCTTTCTTTCTGATTTCTGTGGCGTAAATCTTGACGCGCAGCGTATATAAATATCAGAGTTACCTTATTGTATGAATTCCATTTCAATTTATTAGATATTGTATAAAATATATAAAAAGTATTAAAGTAAAATACTTTTTAACCGTTTAATGTAAAATTGATGTGATAATTAATAAACGCGATAACTAAATGATTAGTACAAGAGGAATGCATTAACGTGTTCTCACTTACCAACTGAAAAACAGACATTGAAAATGAACAATTCACTCAAAAATACTTATGATCATACTCGCGTATACGTTTCTCGTTCATCAGCGGAAAAACGAGTATTGAAAACGGGCAATCTCCTAAAAAATACTCATGCGCATACTCGTTTATACTCATTATTGTTCCTCGCGATACACCGCGAGTGCTTGTGAGTGCAAGAAAAGGACAGGAAAACGGGCTAAAAACGGGCTAAGAACGGTGAAAAATTTTTATAAGGGTATCCATTAACAATAATATATTATATAATATTCCTCAATACTAATCTTAAGATGTTATTTAACGCGTTTTTAAAAGTGAGATATTATCGAATTAATATTGATAATAGTAAGAAATTAACTGATTAAAGAACTCAATAAGTAAATAGAAAGCATAATTGTGATATCATATTTTGTTTGTTTTTTTCTTAAATAAAATTAAAATCATGTTACGTGACAAAATGTCTGAGCAGAAAGTCAAGCGTGATAAGATTGATAGTGATGCTTAACATGCCGGTTGTAACGTAGCGCTAATGTTACGAATAGTAACCTTTAAATCGAATTACGGGAATCAGTGATTACGGTTACGGTGATTTGTAAGGTTACGACGTGACCATCAACATCATGGTACATCTCCGATTCACTCGGCTTGCCATCGAGGCATCGATGCACGATCGTACAGTTGATCGTGACCGCGACACGATCGTAACTCGTTATTATCATAGGCAACCTACAAAACTAAGCATCCGTGGTCCTTGTCCTCGTAATGTATGTAGAATCATTGCACTACGCAGCATCGGACCGTGAAATGCCAGAATGCTTGTAAGAGTTTCCCCTTTATCTCCACGGATAAGATTAGATCTGCATATCCCAGACAGGTGTGTGCAAGTGTGAAACGCAATTACTCGCGCGATAACCAGAATCTTTCGCGCTAATACAATTGCGATTATTACAGCGAGTAATGTATTCGCGCGAAATCATCGTGACGTTGCGATATAAATTACATATTCGAACAAAGCTTCAAAAGTTAATAATGGAAGATCCCCTTATTAGAGAGTTCTCTTTACTGAACGATTCATTTCTGACAGCGAATTTTCTGCATACCTTTCAATAAAAGTACATTCGTATGTTCGTAAAGCTTAGAAAGTTCATCGAGAAATTCACCAATCAGCATATTTTCCTGCATATTTTGCGATTGGATCTCGATTACGTATGCATATGTTTCTCGAGAGAAAGAATAAATGAATATTCCAAGAATCGAACGGAGCAGAAAACGTAGGACATATGAATGAAATTAAAATTTCTATTTTTGTTACAATAACGCATGCGGAGCTGATACGCGCCATCGTCTCCGTTCTGGCGGAACGCACCGCGTGAGTGAGGTACCGTTTGAAAATACCACGAAGCAAATTCCGCGGAGTCGTTCTACACCACGGACGATCGACAGCACCGAGTACGCGTGCGACGTGCATGGTTCTTTAATTAAATGCAACATTCTGCATCGATTGTACAAAAATGAAAAAGCGATGGTAGTACTTTTCAAGAAGAACGGTGCACCTGTCTTGAGAATTTTTATTCCGCGTTTTATTCGAATTCAACGCGCTAAGAATGTCACTTCCGTTTCTTCATTGCAGCCATATTCAATTGTGATGTCAGAAACGATACGTTATAGGATTTTTTCTTGCACTATACTTCGAAATAAATTAATTCTTTTTGCATATTGTCACGCGTAGATTAAAATGTAGGTATATTTTTTTTCAGTGGTTCATGAATTAATAGAAATATACTTAAAAAAGATGGAAATGTATTAAAAATTAAAAAAACATCCTATTAATCAATGCTAATAATGTTATAAAATTACTAATTTTGGCGTATAATAGAAGAAAAATAAATCGCGTTTATTTTTCTTTTTGTTTTTACTCTCTTTTATACTCTAAGAACACTATAACGAAAAAATAAGATTAATATTTTTAAAAATTTGACAACAGTTGTAAAACTTCTTTTTTCTACTGAACGCAGCCGAACTTTGCTTAGTTAATAATATATGTATCTTGGTTGTTTCCAATAGATTTTTAATTTCAAATATATATAGTGTTTTAAATCAATAATACAATAATAATATGTCTATCTCTTCTTAAATCAAAAGAGTAACCCCTGTTTAATTTGCGAATAATTTGTGATTTTTCAGCGAGTCGGACATGGCGCCCAATGCGGAGGAGGAACTGTTGGTTGTGAAACCATGGGGACCGCAACCAGAAAAGGTAGGGTCGTATAGAGACAACGTTAAGTAAATTACTATGTAACAAATGTGCTGACGCGATTGTTCGCGTGTTAGTTTGCCGGCGTGTAAACGGCGCGGAAGCTTTATGATATAACTTGAGTCGCGTTAACGGCCGTTCCATACGACGACCACAACAGGATGTTTCCGATTAGCATATCTTTCAACTTTGAGTAAATATACACAGAAGACAGGCTGGACCGGCAAGACGACCGATCTTTATTTTGCTCTATACCGTGAGAACTCCATCACCTCGACTTGGTTCGCGCATGTGACAAGAAAGAGACTATTAATATTAAGAGAGAATAGAATTTTAGCCATTCAAGCTAAAGTAGCAAGTTACTTCTCACCTTGACCTTGTCGCTAACGGCATACGCGCATATATACAGCTTGATTATATATTGCATATGCCTATCTCATAAATATTCTCGCATGTCTTTCCTGCTATTTATAGTATTTCGTTATTTATATTATGAGATAACATATATCTCGTACTACGATTACATATACGATTACATAATAAACATCAATTTTCGTGGTTCTTTTCCAAATAATCAAATGTAGATGTCTTGATATTTCACTCGCGATCATTAGCTAATCTTAACCATGTTATTGAAATTTCTAGTTTATAATAATTCGTATTATTATAGTGTAATAGTCAATTAATATATGTCTAGATAAAGATAATTATGTTTTATGGGTTTATTTTGTATGTGTTAATCCAACCAAAAGGTATTGCCGCCCCCGAATACACGTCGATGTAGTTTCACTTTAACGCACGTGAAAGTCAAAGCTCTTATGAGTGTTAATATCGAAATTGCTCAATTCGTCGGATGAAAATGGAAATCGTGGACGAACTCGAAATTAGATCGACTGTGACGAGATATCGTATGCCCAGTCATATGCAATGTTCCATCGTTGCGGGAAAGTCTCGACGGCGATTTCACTTAAATTGCGGAAGAGATGCATAAAAAGAATATAAAATTGTGATGGCGTACCGAAAGCGTTGTTATTAAGACTTTCAATAAATCATCAGTTTTATAAGAGGCATGCGCCAACATTGGGTTTTTTCACTCTAAGTTAAAAATTTAAAAGAATTGCGAGAAAAAATCTATTTCCTGACATAAAACGCGAACGCATCTCCGTAAGTTGATTAATAAGCAAATTATATTTATGATCGTAATTGCTATAGAACCTTATCTTTCATCGTCACGATGTCACGTAAAGACAAGCTAAAACGAAGACAACATCGGCACGCGTCCTACCTCGCTGTAACGAGATCCAATCATGAATGTTCTTAGATAATAGCAACAAGTACCGAGCATGATTGATCGTGTTAATGATCCTCTCACGTCATATAATAGATTTAAATTTATATTTTCTAAAAGCCATCAAATTTTCTCTCACGAAAAGTATTTTATTTTTTTATCTTATGATTGCATACGTAAGCTCCACTGTTTTACAAAGCTGCTGGATGGCAGTGTGGATGTGTCGCTGCAATTTCGTTCATAATACACGCAAAAAAATATTTTGCTGCTCCAGCTCGAATTATAGCTGTTTTTTTGTATCTGACAGAAAATCATGTATCATATACGCATAGAATTTATAACACAAATCTAAATTCTATCTCTGTCATCTATTCTAGGGGAACCTGGGGTATAATGAAACCATGGGGTATAATGGGATGTACTCGATATCTTTTTACAGATATGCTAATATGTAATGAATTGTCAGACAATAGTTACTGTTAGATGTATCTTATTATATATTGTTATTATTATTGTCATATTATTTTTACCTGAAAATTGCTAAAAATTGTTTAATGTGTTCGCTTTACTGTCCGCGAATGAGTTATAGATTCTTTGGTATGTTCGCATAAGGTAAGCAATAACAAAATTCTATTTTTTATTGTCATAAGTACATTTATCTTATTATATAATCTTTTCTTGTTACTTTAGTAAAATCTATACAAATATATTGATTATCTGTGATATTTTATATTATCTAAAGTAAATTTATGTACTTCGAGGCATAATGGTGCACTGGTGTTATTTTATGTTTAAAATGAGTTTATGATTCATGTGCAAGTGTAGATAAAAATGATGAGAATTATTATATATTTTATTTCTGTTATCTTCTTAAACTTTTTTATTTATGTTCAATATAATAACACAGTATACCTTGTATAATGTATCACTCAGCATCACATATAGAATTATTAATAAAAAATTAAAAATTAAAAGTGCAACAATGTATTTTTACTTATATTATATGTTCTAAGTCACTTTTAAGCAATGTTCAATATTAATTTTTTAAAAATAGACAAGTTTTCTGTGGTCCCCATTATGCCCTGCATAAATGACATAGTGAGGTTACGACACACTCTCACAAAACAATAATTTCGTCCTGTTAATCTATACTTTTGCAGTAAAACTTACGTTTTCCTTATAGTAAATACTTCAAAAAAGATTTTAATATATAACGAAGTTGATTTATTTATCTTTAATATGTTTAAAACTTGAAAAAATCTAACTATAATCATTATACCCCAGGTTCCCCTAATTAGATATAATACATATCCAATATGGCAGTACTTGCTAGAAATTTATCTATTTTAGCTATTTTTCGTAATTAGATAATTTTTGCTATAACTGCAAGATCACTTTTTTGAGTGTACCATTGCATCCGTATAGATCTTCCATTTTTATGTATAATCTTACAAATTTGCTGAATAAAATCGATATTCTGAAAATTCAATGCAAAAGATAACAAAGAATATTTATCTTCGAGGCGATGTAAATATAATGTAGGAAAAAATAAATGCATCAGTGATTGATCAGGTAGACTGGTGCATATAAACAACGTTAAGAAATTATATCAAGATATCCTCATTGTTACATTGTGCTCTCCGTTCTCATTTGTAAATAGTGTTTATTTACTCGCGTACCACAACCGCGAGTGAATGCAGTCGCAATTCTGTGCAATAATACGGTATCTACAGGCCAGATGTATAACCACAAAGCAGAGATATAAGAATATATCGAGGGTTTTCTGATTTCCTTTCTATTTTGTTCCTCCTTTTATTTTTCTTTCAAACCATCTAGAGCAAAATCCGTCTGCATTTTTCCTCATACTATTTCTCTATAACCAATGTCTGTTTTACTTGTGCGAATAAAAACGGAACAATTTTAAGAAATTCTGATATAGTTTATTTAACTGAAATTTTCTGAATATATTCTCCAATATGTGTCTGATGTTATGATTTCTCAAAACGCTCATTCGATTAACCTCACTCTATCGTTTAATAAGTGTAGATTATATTAAAATAGAATAACCGTACGAGCTTACGGGAACTATTCTAAATGTAATTGACTTATTTGAATAATTTATACACTTATATTGCTTCCGTGTGCGGCAATAGCGGATTGTTTCATAATTTATACATTCTGCATTAACCGTAAGCACGAAAGTAAATTAATTTTACGTAATTTGTTCGCTCGAAGTACAACAATACATACATATTAACAAGAAAGCATCACTGATTAGAATCGCTTCTCTCCTGAACTTGAAAGTAGGAAACACTTATATAGTTTATTAACTAAAATAGAATAAGTTTATTTTCACATAAGTTTATACAATTTATTACGATCAACACATAATTTCAGTTTTGATATTGATGCAAATTAATGCATTATTGCATAATAAATAGATTTATTTGTCATGCAGAGAAATTTTAGATTAACGATGCATTTTCTGTTTAATTGTACTTTTCTTGAATTTGTTTAGAATTTTTTAATCTAAAATACAAATTTTTAAATCTAATATATAAATTTGATTAAATATATTAAGTTTATATAATCTATATTTAATCTATATTTGTAATTGACAGAAATCAAACTATACGAACGATTAGTTTTAATTATCGATTCTAGTTTCATCATTATAGCTATTCTTCTCGTAGCAGCATCCAGCTACTGCTGCAACTTATGGTTAGCGAGAAAAGACGATAATCACTATGATCCTATCAATTTATGGTTGAAAGCGCCCTGAAATTAACCGTGGATATCTTTCTATCTTTCAACATAAATATTTCATACGTGTAAGCGACCAATAATTCGTGTGCTCTTTGAGATTTATTCGAGTGAAGTATAAAATACCGTGATGCTAATTCTATATAAATTAATAAATTAATTAACCCTTTAAGTTAAGGAGACATTTTAAATGATGATTACTTTGGATTTTGTCATTGTTTTAATGGTTTTAAAAGAGTTTCATTTCGTACATTCATGATCGTAATATAATAATGTCATTCTCAATGTAAATAGGAAATGCCATTAATTATATAAACTAATATTCCATGAAATGAAATAATTTAAAGAGCCTTACTAATTAGATAATCAAATTGTTCGCGCACAGGAACGCTTGAGACCACCCACGTATAATGCCGAAGATTACGCAATCGCGCTGAGACGATGGGGAAGACGCCCATTAGGAACCGTTCAAGACTCTCAAGGTACTTTGCCGTCAACAACCAGTTCGAGTTCCGGTTACGCATCCGGAAGTGGCGAGATGACCTTGAGACAATTCACATCGGTCAGCGAGCTGTTAAATAAACTCAGAGCCGATCTCAGACTTGCCTTTCCCAGGTTAGTACCCATCAAATTAATTACTTGTCGCTAAAACAAATAATTAGATTGATTTTTGCCACTTCCTAATGTAATTATCTACTTATTAGATATTTAATTTTGATATAAGTCATACAATAATTTCATTAAAAAGTAGTAGTTTTGAAGAATATCGTTATAATTCACTAATTAAGCTAATTATAAAGATATAAATAATTTTTTGTTTTTATAACACAACTTGTTTGTATTTTTAGTATAGATTCATTTGATTTACGTGTTTATACAATTATAAATTAGTTTCTAAACGCGTCATACACAGGCCCAAGTAGCACACAAAAAAAAAATATTTAAAAAATATTTTTTTAATATTTTTTAAATGTTTTTTACATTAAATATTTAGAAAGTATTTTAAAAACATTGTCTGCTAATTGGGGGATGTTAAAGAGAGAAATCAAGATTCACAAATACAAAGGATAAGTTTTCAAAGATTTTGAATTCTTTTTTTAACGTCGTATGTATAACGCATCTTTTTATTATTAGATGATTATAAAAAACAATTCTACAGGAAGTGATTACTACTCATTTTGTAACGCGGATTAGTTCATACTCATATTCTCAGAATAGCAAATTTCTGTAGATACACGCGAGAAACGTACGCGGAAGTATGAAATATGAATTATTTGCGAACGATTAAAATAACACTCACTGTTCGTGCTCCCTAGGTGGAACTAATGACGAGAGAGATGTAAGATATTAATCTCATGAGAATTGCGAAGTATAAATCGAAAAATTAAGAGTATTTAAATTTATAAAAAACTTAGATCCTCATGTGTGCTGAAATCCAAATTCCCACGTTTATGCTTTCAAAAATTTTTTATTTCGAGTTGTATCTTAAAAATGATATTCCTGGAGATACGATGAGTAAGAGAAATCACATCCATCGAATATTCCTTGAACGTAAAAAAATATATGCAGAATCAGTTTACAGTTATCTTTTACAGTTGTCTTTTCACGAATCAGAAATAGAAGGTGGACCAATATACAAAACGCTCATCAAAATGCTTTCCTCTTAATTGCGACACTAATCGTTTGATCCACGACTTGAGAATTCTTATACATTTGGAAAGGGCAATGTTCGAAAATAAATATCTATTTAACATGGAATAAATTAATTAAATAGATAAAGAAATATATATTTCTTGTGTCATACACTTGACGCAACAAGCGAGATGTCTGAAGAATTAATCGCAATTCTAAACTGATACGTCACAAAAATTATTTACACGATTAGAAAAGGGATGCCGAAGGCATAATGCGCAACCGTGTGCAACGTTCACGCCTGTTAAGTCCGAAGGTGATTAAGAATCGCACGTTATCGTTAGAATTTTTCTTCCTGCCTGTCAATGCCTCACACCGCTAGTCGGGAAGATCGATGATGTTTGTCTCGCGCCGAGACGCTTGAGGCACGTTTATTCATATTGATTTGTAGTGTCTATCGCTGCAATAAGAGCTATCTAATTGGTCGTAATAATGAAATCGCAATAACAATCTTATTTCTGGCACAGATCAAGTTTAATTATAATAATTTTAACATATAAAAACCTAAACCGCTAAATCTATTTTTTTTCCTCTTATTTTTTAATATGATATCTAGACGATCGACTTGTTTAATCACGGGATGCAATTTCGTGGTTATTTTGAAAAATTACGATGTATCCTGCTGCTCCCCGATTATGAACGATTTACGTGGCGCAAATGAATCTGCTATTTGTTCCGCGAGAGAGAGAGAGAGGGAGAGGGAGAGGGGAGAGAAGACGGATAGAAGAGCGCGAATCCGTTAACTTAGCAGATGATTAAAGACGGTGCTCAGTATTAAATTCTTCCACAGTCTGTCGTTGGTACAGCATGCTTTAAAGAACGAATGTTGATGGCTCTATCCTCCGCTTGCACACGTGCGTCATATGGCGGACGAGAGTGTCCCAGATAAATGAGTTATAATACGTTGCGCTTCTCGATGTCGGCGGATAACCCGTAAGTAGCGGCTTCGAATAACCGAATGCCGATATTACGGCTAACTGTATAGTGGCACACCGCTGCAAATCGATCTGGCCGAGCTGCACATCTTCCGTCTTTCCTGGCGAAACAGCTAAAACGACAGGTGTATCATTTACAACGAAGCCCTAATAGAGCTTCTAATTGTATTTTCATGGATTCGTTGTTGTATGCACGGCTCATACAGAATGGATCCTTAAGTAGACTTCCATGATATTCTCATCCATAACGGTACTAGTTACGAGACAATTCTCCATCAATAAAATTTTTACTCTATCAATACACATATCTACATATTGTATATATAGATAAATAGATAGATAGAATATACATATATTCATAATATAATATCATTAATAAATTAAGGTATTAATTATATATGTTATATTAATTTTATATACATACATATATAATTAATAATATACTTATATATATTAATATGATAATTGAATAAATGAATATATGCTGTGTAAAGCAAATCTATTAAATCTATCAAATTTAGTTTGTACTACTTCACTTTATTTTTTTATATTACTTTCATCAATCATATTGGTCGTCTAAAGTGAAGACAACTTTCTAGTCAATTGATAGTCTGCGAGTGTATCGTCTTAAAGGAAGTTAAAAAAGATTTTACAATTTGACAGTTTCAAAGTGAGTATTAAATGAGGATGAAATCATTTCACTTTCTCTTAATAAAATCTACATATATTGTAAAAAAAAAATACTATTTTATTTATAATTTATTTCATTTCTCCGTGAGTACGTATGCGCGGAACTATTTCAAATCCTATAGTCATAGAAACTTATATATACCTATATATATATGTATAACATTTATTTAATTAATAAAATATATATAAATATAGAAATATTACAATTATAAATTTGCGGTTTATAATATAATATTATAGAATAGAAAAACTGAATCAAATTTGCTTTTTTTATTCTTACGAATATTCTTTCTTGTTTATTAGAAAATTACACACACACACACACACACACACAC